CAAGTTACATAAAGATTATGCGTTTCGCGAGGAACAGCCTGATACTCACCTTGATGAAGTGAACTGCAAGGTTTACGAAACGTTGGCATTCCAAGAATGAAATCTGGACACAGAAGAAACCCGCAAAATGCATAATCTTTATATAGAAAGGATCCGTGGAAGTCTGTTAAAAATATATCCAAGTTCTTTCTTTCTTTATATATTATGTGTGCTATGTTTACGAATATAATCTCTAAGTAACGTGAAATATTTTTTCATGATGCGCAAGTTCTACGGGTGAATGTGTATACACTTTTTCGACACGGCAGAAAATCAATACCTTGCGGCCGGAAATTGAATTTGAACGAGTAAACAGGCCAGCGGCGTATTATAGTATGTTGATGTAGCGTATAGATTTTTAAATAATCCTTTACTCATAAAAAGTGCAGTTCTATCAGTAGGAAATTTAAACGTGGTTAAGTTCACGTTCGAGAGAGCATAAAACATTGTATCGAAAAACATTAATATATAGGATGATCCTCGGTTATTGTTTCAAGCGTTATTTCACGAGTTCTAAAGCTAAAAAAATTGCCGAAAGTTAGTTATCGAATAAATGAATTTCCCAATCTTTTCCTAGTAAAACGAAATAAAAGGAATCTTTCTAAAGATTAAAGAGAACATTCCACAAATGGTGCAGAAAAATTAACGGTAACAATCGAAATTACATTTGAAATAGATATTCTAGATGATTAAATCTTGAGATGCTACGGATTCCATATCCTTGACTTGGACCGAAACATGTTTGGCCATTTTAATTTAAACACAAAATATCTCAACAACAATACATTTTTGAAAAAAAATGTTTCAAATAAAAGTTGTAAGAGAGCATTAGACGAGCTACTTATAATAAGACCTTGATTTTTTTCTTATTGGGTCCAAAGAGGGCCTTGGAACAAAATCTAACTAGTAACGTTAGTTTCTTGATGTTTGACTTTTGGAATGTTCTTTTGTAAGACAGGAAGTTTCATAATCGCAAATCGCACTGTATTTTGCATAATTGCAGTATCTGTATGTTACGCGGTTGATGAAGGAATCCATTTGAGCGTGAAAACAGAATTTCCGGAATTATCTTATTCGCTTATACTTGCCTTCTTCATCGCTACCGATCATGGCGTATCGCTCGTATCCGGTGAGATTCCTAACAGCTCCTAGGCCAAAGTCGTCCTTGGTCCATTGAATGGGCCCCTTTTGATCGAGAACTCGGCATGGAAGCGTCACCCGGCTGCCAATCACCGCGGTTTGATCCATCGGCTCGATGGCGAATCGCTGATAAACTACTTCCGTCGTTGTAAACGGCTTCAGCGTCGACACTACCACGGACGATACGTTTGTCACGTTCATAGCTGCCACTGTCTTCACCTCCATTGTCATCAGCAACGAGAGGCAAATTATTAACGATACTATTCTTCGCCCGACTCTTTTGCTCTCGTTCCTATGAATAAATGAGAAAGATTTATTAGATCGATCACGTGTATTTATAAGAATTGGATATAATTATGCATTATGACATTATCTTTTATTTCTTAATGTCACATCAATGTTATATCATGACATGAAGATATGACGTGATATGTATTGAGCTAATATAAAATTTAAACTATATTAAAAATCTTAAAATATAAATATTTAAATTGAACTTAAATTAAACTTAATTAAACTTAAAGCATCCTGAAATATCGAATATTCGATCTGTTAATCGAGAGTGAGCAAAAAATCGTCGCTTGATGTCGAAAGAAAATTTCGGAAGAAATTCTTTTCGTGAATTTTTAGTATGCTTTCTTTCCTCTTTTAACAAGTATATAGGCCGCCGTCGTTTCTTACTCATTTATTTCGTCTTATCTAATTTATTTTTATAGTCCCATCGGATTCAAAAACGGAGTTAGAAGGCAAGGAGGTTGGTGCCGTAAAAGAAGCGATAAAAGTATTGCCGGGTGCCGGCAATTTAGTATTGGAGGCAAAAATGGAGGGGATACATTCTACACACACGTATACATGTGTATGTGGCTAAGAGCACATATGGAATCGCCATTATGAGAGAAGCTTTTTTTACGACCGTAATATAGTTTTGTCATGAAAATATACTACGTCTTCATAATTATCGCGCGGAACGTTTTACGGAGTATTAAAACGGACATATCGCATAAAAAAAGAGCCTGATCTTTATACAGAACTAGATCATTCAGAAATAACTTATATAGGTACGTATATATCTGTCGGTTTTTTTTCATTAGAAACGTCTCTTAAAAATTGATTGTTTGTCCTTTTCTAATAAAATTCTTCTCGTTTCGAACCTTTCACTCGGCGATACAAAAAGATGAAGAATACTAATTGGCTGTTTTCTGATCACTGGCATTCTGATCATCTGAGATTCTGTATTTCTTAATTCAAAATTTATACGATAAATGCATCTTGTTCACAAATGATAAGTTAATCCTGATAAAATTATTTTATAAATTAATTTTAATGAACATTAAAAACTGCACCGAGAATTCTCCTCAAGGAACACACAAAATCAATGAAAAAATCAAAATTATTTTATTTTAATTCTTAATGTGAATGAATAATCAAATTTTATATTAAATCATTTTGTACTTTCATGACGTTAAAATAAAGTGATTTTGATTCGCTCTTAACTTGGAGCATTCCTTGGGATGAGTACTTTTAATAGATTTAATGCGCAATTATTATTGTTGACTCTAGGCGTTTCAAGCTGCGCGTTTATTAACGCAACTACTAGTCTTCCTTATCATTTGGCAAAATAAACGGAAAACGCTTGATCGTCTCATCGACCACTAATTAGTTTTCATCGTGTCGTTTATATTCGTATCGGCTATCTGCCGTCATCTAATAACGGGAACAAGATGGTACTCGGTTTCTACTTTCCTCTCTCTATCTCGTTTGTGTGCAAGCCGCTTCGTCATCTATCTACGTTTCCTCCCGTACGCCGTTCTTATTCGTCGTCGGTGAAATGATCGATAGAACTGAAAATCGCTCGAGGAGAGATTCTTGAGAACGATGTATCGTTCTCGTATGTCTTGTCGGGACTCGCGCAGTCTTCGCACAGACGTGGCGCCTCGGCGTCGCCCTATGTTATCGTCGAAGCCGTTCGTTATACTGGAGTTGCCATCCCTCTCTCTCTCTCTCTCTCTCTCTCTCTCTCTCTCTCTCTCTCTCTCTCTCTCTATCTCTATCTCTTCCTCCTGAGAAAGAGGGATCTCTCTTCCTCTCGAGATACTTCTCGGAGCAGCGAAGTTATACCGGGGTTCTCTACGAGCTAAGCGTTTCTTGTTACACTATGTTCCGTTGGTTAGCAGATAGAGGATGTCGTAAGACGATGGCTCATACGACATCGCACGCGGGCTGCTTCTTACGAGCTCAATAGGATAATAATCCCTGCGGCAGTCGCTGCCACCGAATGTCCGCCCGAATGCTTTGAATGGAATATGCGAGTAACGAGCGTAATAATAATTGCGCTTGTGCCTCGTATTTGGGGCACCCCTCGCGTCCCCCGCCGACAATGTGCCGTAATCATGCGGTGCGTTTCAGAGCTTCGAACAATCTCTCTCGTTCGTAAGCGGTCTCACAAAGCGCGCTTCTTTTGACCCGCGTTAAGCCATTCTTCTGTCTTTGAACGCGAATAGTATCGCACGATTATTTATCTTTATCACATATCTAAAGATACTCGAACGATATTACTATGTAACTGAGCCGCTTAACAACGAGATCGATGTATCGAAAGATTTTAGTTGTATGTCGTTGGGAGGTTATATCGACATCACTCGGAATAGATTTCCGTTTATTCTCTACATAATAATTTGCAAGGGGGTAAAAATAAATTTTGTATCGAATGCAATTTACTCATTTACTTGGAAAACATTTATCATGTTCCGTGACGTCTATGACAAGGCACGCCACCAGCTTACGAAACAGAATTGGGTCATGTCGGAATTGGATGGGATACGTCCCAGGCGATTTTACTACCAGTGATTTTACATGTAAACGTATATCACGAAAATATCGCACGCGCGTGTTACGTCCAACGGCTTCTATCACGCCCATTTGGCTTTTTATCATTCGCGAGAGTATCGGACATTTTAAATCGCCTCGAACAGGCGTACACACGCGCGTAGGCGTATTCGTAGATTATACCGCACTGGCCCCGATAAAATAGAACACACTGATAGGATCGTAAAACAATCAATCGCGATGTCGTCCCGGCAATTACTAGCTGCGATAATCACCATTGAATAGGCGAACGGGCGTTTAAATTTAAATAAAGTCACTAATCGAGACGGAGCGTTTGTCGAATCGGTTTGCCTGTCGAACGTCGCGTTCCGTTCGTCGGCCAGAAATTTTAACGCTCCAGAACATGCTTCCCTCTCTCTCTCTCTCTTTCTCTCTGTCACACTCTCTGTTTCTCTGTAAATGCATTTCGGTCGGCCCACCGCGTCGCGTCGAATCGATCGGTACCCTGATTTGACCTTCGAAATCAATTTTTCACGTTGCTGCAGCACATTACTCGATACCCTGTTTTACGATATTCAATTTTTCCCCAATTACTGCAATCCTCGCATTTACGTGAGAAATATACGTTTCAAAAGTTTGCATAAAACTAAATATTGCAATAACACTATAATAAAAAATATACGCTATAAAAAAATTTACCAATTAATTTAAATAGCAACGTTACTCATTCATGATGTTAATAATATCATATATACATTTAACCGGCGCGATTTCTATATATAGTATAATATCTCCAGAATCATACTTGCCAAATCTATTTAAAAATCTAAAGAGTATATTAATTTGATAATATATAAAAAAATTGAAAATATTCAATTATTTTACGATTGTTACTTAAACGCAAATTAAATTTACGTTTATTTGTGTTGGAAATAAAATAAAATTTTAAACACTGTGTTTGCTATTTGTATAAATGCCAAATATTTGTCGCAAATATCATTTTCCTATAGGCCATATTTCCCCACAGGCTTAACATATTTCATATAATGGTATCAGTGCTATACCTCTGAAATTTACCCAGCACAGCCTAGACGCGGATCTAGCGGATCTCACACCTAGCGGTAGTATAATCCACCGCATCGTACATGTCCCTCGAAAGGATCTTCCTCGTTCGAGCGTGGAAGACTCATGCCGAAGCTCAACGGCGCAATGTCACCGATCAATTTGTCATGGGATGACCCAGTATCAAAGATACGAGTCCCTTGGGTCAGTGTAACGTGTTTCTGGGAACGTTGATACATGCACACGGATACATGTAGCCGACGCGACTCGACGCGACGCGACGCGATGTGTGTACACATATGCAAACACACGATGTGGCATACGCTGCAATATGTGTATGCACGCCGTATATACGTACGTCTGTGTCCCATGCGTGTTGTGTGCGCGCTTGTTCGCCGGTCGCACGACTATCTAAATATAACCCTACGACCATGTACACACGTATATGGGATGTATTCAATGGTTATCGCGATTTTCGATACTCCCCGACAAAGTTGGAAAATATTTCGTCATGCCGCTGCAGCTGACACTGCAACGGATAAGAGTGATGAGGGTGCCGTAGAATCAAGAATGCAGGAATCAATTTTCTGCATCCGCTCCGTTTATCCGCACTATATCTCAAGAGCTCGCTTCTTTTTTTGTTTTGTTTTGTTTTGTTTTTTTTTTTTTTTTGTTTAAAAGAATCTGAGTTGTAATAAAATTTTTCTATCAAGTACTTTGATGATCGATTATTCCGTTCACTTGGCGTTGAAAAAAATTTATAGTTTCATCAATATGTTTCTCGATGTTTCAAGCTTTTCTTTCTAATGTTTTTTTCGAGTATAGTACTTAATTGTTAAATGCAAATATATTTTTATTTCGAACTATATCAAAATTGACGACTATATTGATCGTAATGAAGGAATTATGGTATATAAATTTACCTTATACATAATTTAAATTTGAAAAGCTGACAATTTGATATACACAATATTGAATAGCCATTTTGCTTTATAGCATTGCTATTTTATGATGTTCCTACATTTTGAACATCATGCGATGGATTTGTAGGATGGAATCGGATTTGCGACCGCGGTATGTTTTATTATGTATGGAATGTGTTCCAACATAGTAGCATATTTTACTTTGAACACAAATTCTTTCGTGCATTGAATTTTGAATTTTAATGTTTTCACGATGTAAAATTTGGCTGAAAGTAATTATTTATCGCAGATTTTTACATTTAGAATATTTTATCGTGCGAGAAATCAATTAGGATTTTTATAAATTCTTGAAATCTTTTTCTCAAACAGTTTGAAAAATTTAATAATCCGATCACTGAAAATTTGATAAATAAGATTGATTATTTTATTATTTTTCCCCTTAATCTTTTCAATATTAATCGTAGCTTGTTCAAGATAAAAA